TGATTTTCAGGTTTAATCTAACTTCTGACTGTTACTTCATTATTGGGGAAAGGAGGACTCCAAGCTTTCTATCCAAGGCTTGACTCCTTTCCCACCAAATACCAGTTCCACAGTGAATACACATAGTACGTAGTCAAGAAACCCATTTATTCCAGTTAAATAGCAAAACAGAAACCAGAGAAAGTGTACATAAGAAGATATATAACAGACAATACAGAGTGAAGGAGTTCTCCCATTGGGAGGGAGACAACTCAGCTCAACCAAGAGAGAAAGTCTTGGCTCTCATCCATGGAGAAATTCCCAGAGTCTCTAATATAGCAAGCAAGGGAAAGGAACATGATGGAGATTGCCAGCTCCTCTCATGTTAGCTTCTCCCAGAGTCTTCTCCTTCAGCAAACTCAAACGAGGTTAGTGTCACCCATCCTCTCCTGAAGCTAGAAGCCAGGAGTATTCAAAGTGACTGCAGAGCCCAAAGCAACTCAAAGAAAACTCAAAAAAAGACTGAAGAGACTAAAAGCAGGTCCAAAAATTTGAAGAAGCTTGAGGCTCTTCTTGAAACTCTTGAAGAGAGGGGAGAGAACAAAGCTCACTCTTCTCCTGCTCTCACCAGTTCCACCCTTTCAAACACAAGCATGGAGCACAACCACCAAATAAAGAGAATGTCAGGCTTTGGGACCAGGATTACATATGCAAATTACATGGCTTTATGGCCTTATTAGCTACATACAGATGTTTAACACAACCAACATCTTATAAATCTCCCTAAGATTTATCCATCAGCATGTACCCTCACCTTTGTTGTTGTTGTTCAGTCATGTCTGATTCTTTGTGACCCCATTTGGGATTTTCTTGGCAAAGATACCGGAGTGGTTTGCTACTTCCTTCTCCAGCTTTTTGTTTTACAAATGAGGAACTGAGACAAACAAGGTTAAGTTACTTACTCAGGGTTACACAACTAGAAAGTGTCTAAGGCCAGATTTGTTCGCAAGAAGATGAGTCTTCCTAACTCCAGGCCCAGTACTCTATCCACTGCACCACCTAGCTGCCCACCCTCACCTTATCCTTACTAAATCTTATTAATGTGGTTAACCAAATTATTAATCCTTTTCATGATTTTATTAATGTTTCATTTGGGCCACTTACGAAATGAGATTTGTATGTGCCCCTAAAGCAGCGTTGCTTTAATAATTTTATTTTGTGATCAGTATTATTCTTCCTGAATAGCTTGCAATTATAGTATGTGATACTGTCCTTAAACTCCCATCCTCAAAAACTTTCACTTGATCTGCTCAACCCCCACAAGCTATCGTTCCATATCTCTCCTGCCTTCTGTGGCTCACCTCCTTGTGAAGGTTGTCTATAACATGTGCCGCCACTTCCTCTCCTCTCATTCTTTTCTTAACTTGCTAGAGTCTGGCTTCCAACCTCATCATTAAACAGAAGCTGCTCTCTCCACATTTACCAGTGATCTCTTAATTGCTAAATCTAATGACCTTTTCTCATTCATCATCCTTCTAGACCTCTCTACAGAGTATGACACTTATGATCATTCTCTTCTCCTTGATACTCTCTTTCTCTAGGTTTTGGGGACAGTACTCTCTCCCGGCTCTCCACCTGCCTACCTGATGACTCACCTTCTCAGGCTCCTTTGCTGGATTCTCATCCAGGCTATGCACACCAGCCATGGGTACTCCACTGGACTCTGTCCTGGGCCCTATTCTCTTCTTCCTCTATACTGTTTCATTGGTGATCTCATCACCTCCCATAGTTTCAGTTATCATCTCTATGCTGATTATTCTCAAATCTACTTATTCAACCCTAACCTTTCTGCTGATCTCCAGTCTTGCATCTCCAATTGTCTATTGGACATCTCAAACTGGATAGTCCACAGACATCTTAAACTCAATATGTCCAAAATGAACTCATTATTATCTTTCCCCAAAACTCTCCTCTCCTTCCTAACTTCCCTATTACTATCAAAGGCATCACCTTCCTCCCAGTCTCACAGGCTTGTTGCCTACATGTCATCCTCAGCTTCTCATTCTTTCTTACCCCCATATCCAATCTTGCCATGGTCTGATTTTACCTTCATATGCCCCCTTCTTTCCTTTGATACTGCCATTAGTATGGTAAAACAGAAGTGAATCTAGGGTAGAGTTGAGGCTGATGAGTACAACAGAACAAGAAGGAGGAGATGGGGGCAGGGAGATTAGGCAGCTGTGGATTCAATATCACTGAGAATGGGAGAATAAATAGAGTGGGAGTTTGCTAGTGAGAAGGGACAAGTTTGGACAAAGTATTAATACAACTTCACTGATGATAGCAGGGAGTAAAATGGTCCCTATCTTGGCTCCTATTCAATCTCAGTCACATATAATTCAATCCAACAAGTTTTCATTGAATATCTATTTTGTGTACTGCTGCTGTGAGAGGCACAAAGAAGAGTAAGACACAATCACTACTTTTGCAGGGTATAAGCTGAATTATGAGGATATGACAAGTACCCAAATAACTATAATGCAAAGGAGAATTTGACAATTACTCTTATAAAATGTTACAGGACAGGGGTTTTCAACCCTTTTTTTGTGTCACAGATACCTTTGGTAGTCTGGTGAAATCTATTTATCTCTTCTAAGAATAATGTTTTCAAATGCATAAAATAAAATATAAGGGATTACAAAAGAAACCAATTAAATTGAAGTAAAGATGTATGTTTTTCCATTCAAGAGGGTCCATGAAGGACCGTCTGAAATCTATCCATATGCCCCTTGGGGCTTCGTGTACCCCAGGTTAAGAACTCTTCCTATAGAGCTTTAGAGTAGGAAGAGCTAATATCTGGCTGTGATTATATTAGGAAAGAGTTTTTGAAAGCTGTAGCATTTGAAGGATGAAGAAGATAGACATAAATAAGAAAGAGGGCATTCGAGGTGAAAGGGGGCATGAAATGAGCAAATGTACACTGACAAGAGAGCATGGGAGCAGGTTCAGATCACAAGATCATAACTCTAGAGCAGTAACTGTAAAGGTCATCTAGTCCAATCCCCTCATTTTACCCAAAAGGGATAAATGATTTGATCAAGGTCAACAACATAGTAAGAAGCAGAACAAGAATTTGAACTCAAGTCCTATGACATCCATTCTGCTGTGCTGTTAGACACTAGACCATTTTGACTGTCATATAGGATAAGTGTAGGAAGTAGAAATAGTAGGTAAAGTGAATGGAAGATAAAATAGGAAAAGATTACAGGGAATTTTGAATGCCAGGTAAAGAAGTAAGCACTTAATTTGATAAGCAATAGATAGTCAAGAAAGTTTTTTAGAAGGGGAATGGTCTGATCAGAAATAGGTTGTAAGTAGATAAGCTGACAGCAGTGTAAAGAAAGGTTTAAGATAGAGGAGCAATTATGGCCAGGATGACCACTTTGCAAACTACTGCCAAACTAACAAAGGCCTGGATTATGGTACTGGCAATGGAAATGGAAGGGACAGGACAGAAGTGATAGACAGCGGCAGACTTAATAGATGAAAGTTTTTAAACTGGAGGCAGCTAGGTGACGCAGTGGACAGAGCACCAGCCCTGAAGTCAGGAGGATCTAAGTTCAAATCTGGCCTCAGACCAAACACTTGACTCCTACTAGCTGCGTGACTCTGGACAAGTCACTTAACCCCAATTGCCTAAAAAAAAGTTTTGAAACTGGATGAAAGACAGAATGATGAAATTGTCATTGAAAATAGGACAGCTAGAAGCAGGAGTGAGATAATAAAGTAACTCATCAAATAAGAGACAGTTTGGTGAAGCAGTGCTGGGCCTAGAGTCAAGAAGATCTGAATTAAAATCTGGCCTCCGATACTTCCTAGCTATTGTCAACAGGGAATCACAACTTCACAAAACTTATGTGAAAACTAGGTTTATTACAAGAGAAATGAACACACATGTGGAACCCAAAGAGTTCACAATCCATACAGAAGTTTGCATATTTATGACATTAGGACAAAGGAAGGAGGAAGGAACACAAATCTCCACCTAAAGGAGTGTAGCATGAGAGAGAGAGAGGGAAAGGTACAATAAAGATGGGAAAAGGATAAAACCCCTCCCTGAGGGGGAGGAGCAAGGCAACAGCAAAAGCCACATTTTTGTCCCTTGGGAACTGCTAGACTAGGAAGATGTGATGACCTGCTATTCTACAAGGGTCCTAGCTGTACAAGCAATTTCTTAGCCTAGTGCAGACTGACTGGCACCTGTCTTGACTCCCAAGGACACACAGGGAGTACAGCTTGAGATGCAAACAATACATTATGTCAGCTCAAGGTGGGGCTTCATCCTTGACATATTCAGAGTCTCCTGCACACTCCAGGTCCAATGTTTTCAGAAAATATGGCAACTCGAAAAAACAAGTTAAGGGGACCCCTTAACATTCTTTAGCACTATGTAACCCTGGGCTCGTTACTTAACCTCTGTTCACTGAAGTTTCCTCATCTGTAAAATGGGGAAAATAATACCACCTACCTCCCAGAGTTGTCGTGAAGATAATATGAGATAATATTTGTAAAGCACTTAGCAGAGGGCCTGGCACATAGTAGGTGCTACATAAATGTTAGCTATTATTATTTTTTCTACAAACAGCTCATGAAATTTCATTGCATTACATTATTGTCATAACTTACACATAATAAAATTGACTGACACAAAATATCACGTAATAAAAAAACAGTTCAAGGGAGCTATATGCCTGTGTAATTGAGGTTATTGATTAGTGATAGAAAATGACTCTCAATAGAACATCAGTTTTAATAGTTATTAAAATTAATAACTACTTACCCAACATTCTCCTCGGTAAAAGCATAAAAATACTTCAAGTCCATTGCTACAAACCCACACACACACACACACACACACACACACACATACACATACACACTCTACCTCCTTCAAGTAGCTTTTGTCACTATTTTGAAGGTCATACTATTCATTTTTAAATGAAAATTTCTATAACACTTACAATGATGTAGACACTCTTCCCAGTTCCTGTTGGTCCCACAAATATCGAAGGTTTCTGATGTGTGGTCAGCAAGTCCATTAATGTAGAATATCTAACTGTGTCCAGAGTTGGCACAATGATTTCATTAAACATCACATCTCGAGGAATAGGAGGGGCTGATCTTAGTCTGGCTACCCATGCTTCCCATCGTCCTAGCCCCTGTTTTCCACAAATAGTCAAATATTGCGTGTTACAAAAGTATTTTTTAAAAAGAGGCTCAGCTCAACTTTATAAAGGAGAAAACATGCATACTGTAATATCAGATGTTTCCACATTTGCTTGATCCTTAAAATAAGCAATATTGGGTTTTAGATTTAAATTTTAAAAATTCAAGGAAGAAAAGCAAATTATATTGTTATATAAAGCAAGAGAAAGAGCTAAAAACTATTTAAAACAAAAATATTTAAAAATTTTTAAAAACTATTAAAAATCTCAGCCTAATCAATAGTATTGAGAAAACTGGATTTACCAATTGGTTAAGTAACAGCATGGAATTTCATTAGGTAATTAATTATAAGTCAATCATATGATTTTTTCACTTAGACTCTAAGGACAACATAGTAGTACAAATTATAGTGCCTTTTTAATAGATTTAATATCAGCTTAGATCATCTGAGCAAGAGAGACTAACCACAAGGTTTTACTGTGACAATTTAATTGGAGTCAAATCAATGAGGCTAAAAACTGAAACTTTATTGTATAAAAGCATATTTATAAATCTAACATTTATAGAAAATAAAAGTTTCTAACAGAACTCTATTATTTAGCCAACAAAATTTGTCTATAAACAGAAACATAAAGGGATTCAAAAATGAGAAGTTTTAACCTGAAGTGTAGTCCCAACAGTGAGGTTCAGGCCCTGGCTTATTTTTAACTCATAAAGGCATAAAGAAATGAGCAAAAACCTGATGGTTTTTTGTTTTTTTGCTTTTTGGTAAGGCAATCGGGGTTGAGTGACTTGCCCAGAGTCACACAGCTAGTAAGTGTCAAGTGTCTGAAGCCAGATTTGAACTCAGGTCCTCCTGACTCCCGGGCCAGTGCTCTATCTACTGTGCCACCTAGCTGCCCCTGAAACACTTGTTTTAATGAGAAAAGGCAGATCCAAAAAATAATAGTAATAATTTCATGTACCCCTTTATTTTTCTCAATACATTTTTTTGTCATATAGATAGAAGATCTATAAGAAATAGCATGGCATAGCAGAGAGAGTGCCAGACTTGGGGTCAGGAGGACTAGGGCTCAAATCCCAAGACTATCTACTAAGTTATAAACAGCTTGTATTTTATTTATAAGGAAGATGATTTCCATACAAAAAATTTGCAAAAATTTCCTATTAATGCATATAATAGGCACTATGGTATAATGGAAAGAATACTAGATTACAAGTCAGAAAATCTGAATACCAGGCCCATCTCCATTACATACTATCTCTGTGACTTTCAATAAAACATTTAATCTCTCCTTATCTGTGAAATGGGCAAGATAATAACTGTCCTGATAACCTCATTCAGCTGTAAGGATCAAATGAGTATGCATGTGAAAGTGTTTTGTAAATTATAAAACACTATTGGATACAAGATGATGATGATCATTGTATAAATATAAGGAAACAGCTAATTTAGCTTTTGCCCATAGGATAATTAAGGTATCAAAGCTTTTATTATATTTTAAGAAGTCAAAAGCTCAACTTTACAATTATTACATCATATTTTTTTAATTTTGAAAAGTATACAAAAAAGTATATCTGACAAAGCTAAATATACCAATATGCAAACCTTGACACAAGTGTTGGTGAACACAGTCATTATCATACTATATGATTTTCAGAAAAGAAAGTTAACATTTCTTTCAGAAATCTCACCTCACTGATGAACTGATATTCGTAAATTGTTCCTTCGTCAGGAAATGGAACAGTTATGGGTTTTGCAGTAATCTTTTCAGTACCATTCAGCAATTTGTATGTATTTCTAGTCTTATCTGAAATTGGACCATCCATTAATTCTCTAACAATTTTATCAAATCTCAATCGATCTTCCTCTTTACAACTAGCTCCAAGAGACCAGGTCAATGAAAAGAGAAAAATACCCTATATTGGTGAAAAATACATTTAGAGAAATACTTTAAATATTTTATGAAAACTGCAAATAGAATTTTAAATGTATTTATCATTCACACGAAAAAAAATAAAGGAAGAATATAAACTGTTCTAACAATAGTGGCATTCTAGTACACTGTGGTTTCTAAGCTTCACCTCTTATGCTCTATATAATTATTCAACTTCAATACCTACACTACCCTTCAATTTCAACATTCAGTAGGAAGATGACTGTTACATGGATGAATTAAGAAAATATATATTTTTTTGTTTTTTAACTAACGAGTTGCTAAAAATACTCATTCTTACCTCAAGCAAAGAGTAAACTTCACTATCACCTTTGACCTTAGCTTTGGCTTCATCCGCAAACTCATCCAACAGGCAGTCCATTAGATTCATTAAGGATTTAACTAAATTTGTATCTGATGTGGGAGACAATTCCTTAAAAACAATAGAAGCATTTAAATTTGGCATCAAACATGCACCACATTCAGTTTAGGCAGTAATCCAACACAGCATTCTTGTTTTAAATTTATTTTGCAAGCAAACAAACAAACAAAAAATCAACCACTATACACTAAAAATCTGCAAGGAAAGCAATTACACTTTAAAACATAAAACTCTGTTAGGATTATATCAATATGATAAATTAATGAGAACCCATTTTAGGTCACTTAAAGATATATCCACATCCTCATTCATTCAGAAGTCATACATTTCACAACAATAGGTAGGGGGTATATTCTTAACTAAATAAAGAATTGAGGCAATTATAAAAAAATAGATAATTTTGATTACATGAAATTCAAAAGCTTTCGCATATGCACCCAGGTTATGGAAGGAAACAGCTAACTGGGAAAAATGTTTTTTAGGTTAACTTTAATTTTTCTTTTTTAAAAAAGTTCTTTCAAACTTCCAGTTTTCTTACCTTCGTATGTTTTCTAACAAATTCAATAGCAACAGGGATTATTCTGTCAAATAAGCCCATTATAAATTCTTTCTGAATAGCACTGATCCCAACAGGTAAAACATTTAACCAAGATAACATCAAGGGTCTCCAGCCCAACATCTGAGGCTCCATATAAATCATACCACATCTGGAAACCTGTTGGCGAAGATAAGGAGAAGATAACTATTCATCTTCAAGATGACATTTATGAAACGAATAAGCACATTTGCATATTACATATTATACATTATTATCTATGATAACATAAAAACATTTTTGAGAAGTATTCTGAAGATAATTTTAGTCTGAATTCTTAATCTATGACTTCCAACATGATTAGAAGTAGATGAGAAGAAAATAATTTCTGAATCTCAAATTTGCCATGGAATCTCAGTATATTAGATAAAATATTTTGTTCATTTTAATATAATATTTGTCAAGAAAAAATTTCCTTAGAGGAAATAATTTGCTGATTACACTAATATTTTTTATTTAAAAGACATCACTAAATTATCACATCATATTGGAAATTTCACACTCTATAAAAATGAGTAAAAAAAATTGAAGAACTTACCGTAGCAGGTGAGGCCACTTCTAAATCCATTGGTTCAAAAATTAAGCTCATTTGTGGTGACATTTGGATGATCTCTCCACTCATTAGACAGAGCTTTTTATTATCATCCAAAACAGTATTCATATTCTCAATCCAAACTGCATCTACAGGCCCATCAAAAATCAACCATTTCCTATCTGGAGACTATATTACAGATGTGGGGCAAAGGTCAAGGAAAATGATAACATTTTTAACATTAGACCAATAATTAATAAAGTTACAAAACTCATATATAAAAATCAAAAGCAACAGTATCCTGAAAATTAAAGTCACAGAAAAATGTCAATGTACACTCTGACTCAATTTACAACTGAAATAAATATACTCCTAACAGAAACCTATTTGTGGTATTAATCTACCAAGATGTATAGCATCTTTCCTCAAATTAAAGTTGCTAAAATTTAATCATTGCCAATATTCTCTCGATCTCATATCTGCAGAATTCCTTATAGTGCTTTAAGATTAGAAAAATAAATCTGGTACTAAAGCCAAACAGTAAAGGAATTCTCATTAGCATGGTTTACCAGTTCATGTATCAATAATTTTCTATTAAAACCATTTTTCCTTCTTTCCCTCTAAGTGTGTACATATGCAGACAAATACACATAAAGTGACCTGTTCTTTCCTACGTTTACAAAAATGGCCCTAGAAAGTAAGATATTATCCAAGACAATCTCATTAGGCTGTTAAAAAATTTTTAAGATACGTGAATAATCTCTAAAATTAGAATGGTCAAAAGGACTCTAGGTGCTAGTCATGCTAACCTTTGCATATGAAGCATCCCATCAACCAGTATGGATTTTTAGTTAAAGTAGTAATGGCTGCTGCCATTCTACTGTTTTCTTATTTCGCCTTCTTCATAATATTCACCTTCAAACACTATGCTATACATTCCAGCCAAATTAGACTCTTAACTATTCCCAGTTCTTGTTCTGTACTCTCCCAGCTCCACACATTCATGTAGGCCATTCCCAATTCCTGGGACATTTTCTCCACACCTCCACACCTGCTAAAATCTTTCTCATTCAAGGCCCAGCTCAGGGAACATCTCCTCCGTAAAGTCTTCTCTGATACCTGAGGCTTAAAGCCTCAGTCAACCAATACTTATTGTTTACTATGTGTCTGGCACTATAGCAAGCACCGGAAATACAAAGAAAAGCAAAAAACACTGCCCTGCCTTCAAGACAATTTAATGAGGGAGAGAATATGTAAAAACTAGATATATACAAGATATATGCAGAGTAAATGGAAGGTAATTTCAGAGGAAAAGGCATTAACATCTGGGTAGGGTAATAGAAGGTTCTATAGAAACTGGGATTTGAGTTGAATACTGAAGGTAGTCATGGAAAGAGAGGTGAGATCTCTTCCATCCAGAACTCTCTTAGAGTGCTTAGTGTAGTTCTCTCTTCTGTGCTTAACCCCACTGCCTTACATTACACTTATTTATGTACATGACCTATTAGATCATAAATTCCTGAAAGGAAGGGACTGTTGTTTTTTCAAATCTGAAAACTAAGTGTTAAATACAATTACTGTTGTTGTTTGTCCTTTGTTTTTGAAAAAGATCAATGATATCATGAGGGTAATGTATTGACTTGCATGTGAAATGGATTGAAGTGAGGCAGAGTTGCACTAAGTCATCAGCCTCACTTTCTCTTCAGAGTCATCAAAGTCCAGGAGCAAGACAAAAATCAAGATCCCTGGTGATGGCTCAGGATGTAGTGGATGATCTTCAGTGTCTGACCAAGCTCCACAGTGCCTGCTTCCACCACCTTCATGGCCGTTGGAAGAGACTGTTCTCTTTCACCCATTCTGCCACAAGGGAGTCTTCACATGCTTGGGGTAGACAATCCCTAATTCACCACAGGTTTGAGGCCTGTAAGTTACCTTGGCCCTTCTGCCAAGATGGTTTTACCAGGGTGTGGCCACTATGCATGCTACAGCTTCTTGGAGCCACAGGTGAGAGATGGGTGACAGGTGGACCCCAAAGGTGGATGAGCAGCCCTGAAAAGGGCTCAGCAAGCCCTTAACACCATAGGTGCTAATCCTACCTAAACACCTCATATACCCTGTTACATACAATGCCTTATATACAGCAGTTGTTTAATAGATGTGTGTTAAATAGAATTCTAAGGGCCTACTTGTTTCAGCCTTTGGGTTTGGATCTGCCCAAAAGCTAGGACCAGGTCTGGCCGTAGGCAAGAAGTATTATAAGAAACCTCTATTTCAAAATGTAGTCAGCTCATTCTTGCTAATAGTAATTATCAGTGTCTTTCCCTGCTTTCTGACCCCTATTGCCTCTATTCATACCTAGGTACTCAACTACCTGTTGCCCAGATACTTGATGAGTTCCTTGACCCCTTCTAACTCTGTTCCATTGATAGTTTCTGCCATTTTATAAATCCTAAAATCCATGTTTTCCCTGCTGGATTCTTCTTACAGAGACTTTCCTGGTCATTTGCCTCATATAAATGTTTTACTTGCCCTCTGAAACCCAACACTGACACCTAAGGAAATCCAAGCTCTAAACTTAGCCTACTTTGATAGACTATTAGAGACCCCTGTGGTCTCTCACAAAGGACCTCTGTGTTCTCTCAGGAAAACAACTCTGCTAGGGAGTTGGTGAGGAGGAAAGGGAAATGACTGAGAGGGAGTCCTTGTGTTGGGGGAGGGTGGTGGGTTCCCACTGATGAATGCTCCTATGGGTTCTGTGAAAGATGTTCTGTGAAGGGATATGGGGGCATTGTACTGGGTGTAGTCTTGGGAATTTGGCCCTTGGAAAAAACCATGTATCTACCAGAAGCCTTTTTGCAAAACCCTGTAACTTGTAAATGGCATTAACTACTCCACAGAGTTAGCAGCAGGCACACATTACTCCTTTCCTCAACTCCCCACTCCCAAAAGAGGTGGGAACTGGTAAATCCTCTATAACTTCTCCTTCTATGGAAAATCAGCACTTTTCAAAGATTTGTGAATGAACCCTTCATTTATTATTATTAGAGTGCAATTAAAGAAAACTAAAGACAGAAGTGAGAGCAAACAGAAGAAATGAGTAGAAAAGGAATGTTATTGTGGTAGCTAATTGAGCTCTTCTGGGGTACTTCGATGGTACTTTTGGTCTATAGTTACTGGGTTACCTGTGCCTCTCTCCTCTCACTCATTTTCTTTTCCTCTCTCTTCTCTATACTTTCCCACTGACTATGTGCACAATGCCAGTTCCCCTAACAGCCTTATAGGTGATTACAGTGCCCATATCCATGACCTATGCAAAGAAAAGCTAAGCTCTGCGACTGCCAATCTTTTGTAGATGGACATCACAAATTATACATGCAAATTTTAAAAATGATTGCAAAACCAAAAAATCATACAATAAATAATTTTTATAACAATATCATGGCTTTCATTGTAATACAAAGGTAAAATATACAATACTTACCTGAGAAGAAGCGAATGCTCTAAAGCTTACTGCTAGGATGCCATCTGACCATTCATGAGATACTAAGTCAAACTGTCCATATAGTTGACCCATAGTTATTGACTTGGGATTTATAACAGTAATTTGAACTTTGTTTTCTTCCATCAATCCCTTGATGTAAAAAAAATAGTTTATGTCACATATAGAATATATGGGTCCAACTCTCTACTGTATTTTCGTCAACTACTTGGAAAGTAGTTCATTAAACTAAAGATGATGGTATAGAGGGATGTATGAGAATTGGCATTTCTGGCTTGTACTTTTCCTACTATGGTATTATCCTATCTCAGAAAGGAGTCTAAGGAGTGACTTGCTCATAAGGTAGCAATTATTCTAAGTCACCAACCTTCTGGTGACTTAACCAACTAGACCTTTATTTCTTCCAGTCCCCCAGGATTAACTGAGACCCATGAAGGGATTCTGTCCTAAATATCTACATCCCTTGGGTCAATGGCAGCTGGCTCAGTTATGGAGCAGGACAAAAATCTCTCAACATCAGGAGTGAAGGACCATATGGCTAGACAGTGTAGAGACAGCATTACTTAGGATGCTGAGTCTTACAATGAGCTGCCCTCCAAAAAATGCACTCAGCCATATGCTCTAAAATAACAATCTGCATGCTCAGGCTGGAGTGGCATAAATAACCAGAAAAGAGTGGGTTTTCCCATTTTAGCTTGGCTAGAGCCATAGGCCAAAGGAAATAACAAAATTCAATAAAAAGCAAATGTAAATTTCTACACTTGAGTTTAAAAAAATTAGCTTTACAAGTTTAAGATGAAAGAGGGTAACAATTCCAACTTAAAAGATCCAATAAACTACACATTGAAATGTACGAGTGAATAGTATGACATAGCAGCTACAAATATTAATGCTAATGCCTTCTTGTAGATTCTTCTCATCTGACTGTTCCTGACCAAGCTCTTAAGACATGACAGAGTCCAAGAAGTTTTTTAAGAGTATCAAGTTAGGCATGTACAAAACAGGAAACAAAAATAAATATACAAATACAGAAAAACAAGATTTTCAAAAAGTAAGTTTTAAGAATATATTAACAATTATCTCAAGTCCTCAGGCTATGCCTTATGGTGAAACTGCCTTATGGTGAATGCATGTTTCTTCTTCTTTTTTTCCAATTTAATTTTAAACACCTAGTCTGCAATGCCATACTTTGTTCCTATACTGACTGCTGGGAAAAGTGGAAGCTTTCCACCTTTCAAGTGCCCTTCCTTTATTTGACCCTCTCCCTCAATACACACACACACACACACACACACACACACACACACGTATATGTGTGTGTATATATATATATATATATATACATACATATATATACACATATATCTTATCTCCCCTTCCTTGGAAGGAGGTCATTCATAAGTCATAAATATCCAGACACCACAGAGCTTTGAACATCTTTGTCTGCTATCTAATACTATTTAAGTCAATAAGTAGATAGGACTTGAAAACAGGGTTCTGTTCCTTCATGAACAGCTTTGCCCAATTCAATGAAAAGACTCTGAATCAAGCTATCACCTCTGGTTTAATAAATTAAAAGATACTAATCTGCACAGCAAGTGCCAGCTCATACTGCTTCTGAAAGGTCAATTACTTCTTTAAGTCTATGCTACCACTCTACCTATCCAAACTTATGCAATCATAAAATTGTAAAATTTCACACTCAGATTTATTTTTATTTTATAGTAAATTCCCTGAGGTTTTTTCTCAACCGCTAGATTGGCATATTCTCACTAGTATTGCCTCCAATTATACACTTTCCTCTGCTGGTGGTAAATTCATCTCCAAATAGCCATTTAAGGCACCAGCCACTTTAAATATTTTTCTCCAAACTTGATTAGCAGCCTCTGATTCCCAGCACCTTTTATAAGTCATATTCCCCCAATGTAAGCACCTTGAAGGCAGGGGCTATCTTGTTTTTAACTTGTATTTAACTCTCAGTGCTCGGCACACAGTAAACATTTAACAAATATTCCATCCATCTCTATATATAGAAATATGTATTTCTTTCTACAAAGTCCTTCTCAATTTGCATTTGATGAAAATGGATGTCATAGATGTGAAATGACTTGCTCAAGGTCACAAAGCTTCAAGAACAGTGGAAGAACAAGGATTAGAGCCTAGGTCTTCTGAATCCTAGATAGTACATCTCCTATTATGGTATAATCTCTTTCACCAATTCCTGATGTGAATCTTTTGTTTGATCCAGGTTATGTTCCTCAATAGCCACTGAATACAGTATCATCATTGCCAACTTCAAACTATTTATATTATTCTTTTGCCTAAATCTCTTCTTCTCTAAAGTAGAGATAATAGTCCTAATAGCACCTACCTTACAGAGTTGTTTTGAAATAATGTAAGTAAAGCTCTTTACAAAAAAACCTTAAAGCATTACATATTAGTCAGATGTTAGAATTACTGTCTCACTATATCCATCTTCTTCTTATTTAACAACTCAAATCCTAACTATCCTTGAGAGTTTATCTCAAGTTTTGTTTTGTCACTACCACAATGCCTTCCTTGCACTGATTTTCTCCTTATATGTATTTCCATAGAATTTAATTGTCCATATCATTCATTTGGGGCAACTAGGTGACACAGAGGACAGAGTGCCGGGACTGGAGTCAGGAAGACTTGAGTTCAAATCTGGTCTCTGATGCTTATGAGCTGTGTGACCTTGAGCAAGTCATTTAACCCTGTTTGCCTCAGTTTCCTCATCTGTAAAATGAACAGGAGAAGGAAATGGCAAACTTCTCCAGCATCTTTGTCAAGAAAACCCCAAGGGGTCACAAAGAGTCAGACATGACCAAATGACTGAACAATAACAATCACTCATTTAAGCCTTGTGCGTGTGTCTAGAATTAGCCTTGTATTTGTATCTTGTATCCCTAAACTGCATTATAAAGTTACAAACTACATTAAGTTCTTAGAAAGCAGTGTGTCTTAAACTTCTTCAGTACCCAGCACACTGTTATACACATAGCAGATGCTAAATTAGTACATACTGAAGAAATTAAACATTTTTGAAGTACTGAACATAAAGGGGTTCTACCAAAATATTGCAATGTCATCTTTGTTTTGCTAATACAATGTTTATACCACAAAACACTTTCATCAAAAAAAACCCTGGTGAACTACATTTAGCTCATGAAGTACCTACCTTTTCACAAATGTCATTCAAGGCACCAGCTAAAACTCGATATGCACTTGTCTTTCCTCCAAATGGCTCTCCAACAATCATAAAACCGTGGCGTACAATCATCATTTCAAATATTTGTAGGATCTTCTCATAAAAGAATTTGGTCATTTGCAAATTCATTTCATCACAATTATCTTTAATAGCTGCCATTAAATCATTGTAATCTGGTTTAGGCAACTTCACTCCAGGAAACAAATCTGAAGTAATTCCCTGCCAAGGGAATATTTCAATGTATATATTTATTATATTTTGTGATACACAAAGATGCTAAAATTTTGCTAGTTCTAATACCTAATATAGATAACATTTAAATTCATGTAATGTAAAAGTATTTAACAATATACCATTTTAATAGTATGACAGCAGCATATTACCTAATTTAAAAGAAATATAGGCAAATGTATACATGAAAACAAATGCATATGTGTGCTTCTAGGTGTGGTGATAGAAATATTTTTCAAAAATCATAACCAATATGCAACTACCTTGGCATCATTCAGAAAGCTAATTGTTTTAAATTAACAAAAGGCTATTTGACTAGTATTAATTAGATTTATATACAAAATATAATTACTTAATTTTGCCCTAAAACATTTAAAATTTATTTTTTTAAATGCTCAATGCCAAAACAATATGAATCTGCATTCTCAATTTGCTGGTATAACCCCTGTCCCAAGCCCATTGGTATGGGATTCTCTCCTCATTAGCGGAGCTAGTGAAAGATGACAGCTTCAATTCTCAGCTAGTCCCTCCTTTGGGAACCTTCAAGCAGGACTTTCCCTTCAGAACTATCCAAGTGAGAGTCTTCTTTGAACTTCAAGAGAGAAGACTGACAATTGCCAATGCCACTTCAGGTGACTAAAGGAAGAGACTGTGGAAATAAAGACATGAGAGGAGCAGGCAGTCTCCATCATGTCCCTGTTCCCAGCTTGCTACACTAGAGATTTTGGGGAACTTCCCCTTAGGTGATTGGTTGAGCTAAGTTATATTGCTCCCAGTGGAAGAGCTCCTTCACTCTGTGCTGTCTGGTGTATATTCTGTTATGTATACCTTCTCTAGTTTCTGTTTTGGTATGATTTGGATAAATGGGTTTCTTTGTTATTCTCTGTGTTCATTATAGAACTGATATTAGGTGGGTAAGGTATCAAGCTTGGGGTCTCCCTTGTCCCCCAAATGACAAAGCAACAAAAAGTTAGATGGAACATAATCATATCCCCTAGATGAACAATATTTAAGGAAGCAGATTGATATACCTCTAGCCCAGTACCCCTCTCTCTGAAGAGAATAGAGTAGTGGCTTCTGGCCCCAACCTCCTACTTCCCCTCCTGGAAGGAATGAAAATCTTCCTTGGAAAAGGGTGGGTGAAGAAGAAGCTAGGGATGTCTATTCTGCCTCCCTTTGAGACAAATGAGGACAGCCTCTCACCACAGGTGGGCCCTTCTACACACATGGGGCCCTCCATTCTAGTCCTTCCCTTACACTAGTAACTTTATAACTATCATGGCAATATAAATATTCCCCATCTCCTCTCTAATGAAAACTATTCTTTTTTGTTATGGACAAATTAAGCTCTTAACGAATGTAAAGCTAACCCATCCTGAGTGTAAAAGAGTAGGAGAAAGCCTTCTATCTTTTTGGATTCCCCAAATTGTTTGGCCTTCTCCCTTGTCAGGATCAGAGTACTCAGACTGTGGGGTATGACGACCCATAAGAAAACCTATAGGTTTTTGTATTTTTTGAGAAGACTAGTCCAAGGCTAGTGACAGAATGTATGTAATATGTCTATTATCCAAAAACTAGCCTAGCTAAATTTTGAGAGAGGCTCATCATCAGACTGACGTAGGGCAATGATTTTTTCCTCTACAGTAAATCTCGAAGATCACCTAGTTAATCACAGAAGGTTGCAATCTTTATCACAGGAAGAAATACCCATATCAATGAAATCACAGATCTCTGAAGTACTGAGGAAATAGGTGAGACCACTATATTCTATCTAATGGCCTGGTATTCCTAGAATTTGGAATCTGCAATAGGCAAGTACTTGAGCCCTAAGTCTACTGAGAAAGTGGTTGCACTGTCAAGAAAAGTTGCTTTGATACTGGTTTTTAAATGTGGGTTTTATGGAGTACCTATTGTTCTGGTCCCCTTCTTAATGGAAATGCTCTCCCAGACCCAGATCTTTCTTCAGCTGCTTGACACATATTCTTTGAATAGCTCCCTACACATAGAACAAAGGCTAGAATTCTGGGGTTCGAAGTAAATACAAGCAGTAAAAGGAAGCAAAGGTCTAAGATGAAGTAGACTAGTGACAAAGGTCAAGGGGATTGAAAAGGGTGAGGAATATGCAGTTCAAGATGCTCAAAGGGGGAAGGGATTAAGGTAAAGAAGACATTTAGCCAAATATTGAAGTTACTACAGAAGAGAGAGAATGACTTGGAATTTTTCAAGGGGGGAAGGAAAGGGAATAACCATATATTTAGCTCCTGTGTGCCAGGCATTGTGCTAAACATTTTACAAATATTGTCTCGTTCGACTCTCACAAGAACCCTATGAAGTAGGTGCTATTATTATTCACATTTTATAGTTGAGGAAACTGAGGCAGACTTGCCTCAGTTAAGTGACAGCTAGTAAGTGTTTGAGATGGGTTTGAACTCAGGTCTTCTTGACTCCAGGCTCAGCACTCTGTCACTATATATTTTTATGGGTGAAAGTATCAAGAATCTAAACAGAAAGGTGTTACGTTCAAAGGAAGAGAGGAGGCTGCTGACAAAGGATTTGATAGGTAGCATAGCGGATAGAGCCCTGGGCCCAGAATCAGGAAGACCTGAGTTCAAATCCGGAGTCAGACACTTACTAGCTACGTGACCCTGGAAAAATTATTTAACCTCTGTTTTCCTCAATTTCTTCATCTTTAAAATGTGGATAATAATAGCAACTGCCTCCCACAGCTGTAAGGGTCAAATGGGATAACTAGCACAGTGGGGTTTTAAGTCAGTTTGTTCTGCAAGTCAGCTTGTTCTGCCATTGCTGCTGATTTCCCACCCCAGCCCTAACCCTTGTGTTGTTCCAAGTCTCCATGCCAGGTGGGAGGCAATTTAGCCTGATGGAAAGGTGGGGTCCCTGAGCAAAGGCCTGTTCTAGCTGTACCTCTGCCTATATACAGAACCTAAAATACAGGTATCTGGGAAAATCTGAGGAGTACATATTTTATTTTATTTTATTTTTTGCTTTTTGGTGAGGCAATTGGGGTTAAGTGACTTGCCCAGGGTCACACAGCTAGTAAGTGTTATGTGTCTGAGACCAGACTTGAACTCAGGTCCTCCTAACTCCTAACTCCAAGGCCAGAGCTCTATCCACTGCGCCACCTAGCTGCCCCTGAGGAGTACACATTTTGCATGAATTTCTCTTTTTCCTTAATTCTTCCTACAGAAATTGGAGGATGAGGGAAAGTAACATTTTTTAAATCTCTTATTATTCTGACATCTTTGGTCAAATTTTCAATATCTATTACTGAAAAACATCAAGATTGTTAAACCTAATTTTATCTTACACATTCCTATAAATTCCAGTACTTTTATTTAAGGAAATAAAAATAATTTTAACTTTAATTTTAAGATATTTTTCCTTAGTATTAAACTATAGCTGAATCTCTATCTTAAAGTTTTTTTAAGCTTCAATATAAACACTGCCAAAATTATGCACCAAAGACTAGAAAATGAAATTATTAAATTCATAAATGACCTAAATTGCTGACTTATATCTGATTCAACATAGCTAGTAGAGCACATATCAAATAAAAGATAGAACACTTTTTTTGGTCTAAGTGGTTTTATAGAGCAAAGACTATTTTCACTTGTTTTGTAAAATATCCAATATAGAGTTTGACACATTGAGGTGTTTGATAAATGTAATATTATAAAGATTTTAATGCATTATACCAATTAATGTTCTTACCTCAAAAAGTGGTAGATCATGGGACAAAAATTTTGGCAGATTCACATCTATGATGGATCTAAGCAGCAAAATTTCTTCATTTTCATTTGGATATTTCAGCTGAAAATGAATTCATTATCATTTATTTAGCACATTAATTTTTGATACTTTTAATAAGAACAAATTAGAAATTAAATGCAGAATTTTAATTTTTAAATATGGTCTTATTTTACCTTTGGATCAATTGAAGGATTACTATACACTTTCTACTTAGATATCTATAATTCAATACAGACAGAATTTATATAATATTTTTATTTTACTTTAGTAATCTTTATTTTTTTTTCTTTTTCAGTTCCAAATCCATTGTCTTATGTATGAAAGGAATTTCCCATGTGAAAAATCTCTCTGATGCAATTCAGCAACTTAGCCACGAAAGAGTTGTCTAGCACACTGAGAGTTTATGTAACTTGTCTAGTCCTATTTCCTAGCAATTAAAAATATGGATTTATTTGAATTTGAGTACAGCATGTTAAATTCAAGCTTTTTATATTATTGAAAGTATTTCAATTGACCTTAAAACTGTCAACTTACA